TTTTTAATTTATTATTATTACATTTTATTATTTTTTATAATATCCTATTTTGCACAGTTGTTGGTTTCACACAATGGTATTGATAGGTATATGTATAAAAATTATATTTTTAAAGTTTGGTTTTTTTTTATAAATTTGTAAATTTTTGTACTTGGTACGAATCAAGAACCAGTATTTAAATACAGTGCTTAGTTTTTTTTTAAATATTCTAATTGAGTTATTTTCATAAATAAAACACTATAACAGATAAATTACTGTTGTGGTTATAGAGACGCGCATAACAAAATTACTTTTACTAGATATTAAATATTTAAAAAATTCAAACAAATAATTTTTTTTGTTATTTAACTCATTAATTCATTATAATTTTATATTTATATTTATAAGACATTATATTATTATGTACAGTTAAACAACAAGAGTGCGAAGTTACGGCCATACAAACAACGTCTGTAACAGAACACAATGCCACAATTTTGAATACTGAGATGGAGACTTCCTCTTTTGGTAAATGGCAATTTGGTAATTTATGGCAATAATTTGTAAAGGCCCCTTCCAACCAAAAAAGCACGAGCTACCAGAAAAAAATTTTCCTCAAAAACATGGTCATCGTTTTACTGAAGAAAATTACTGGAGAAAAATTACTGGTGGTGATCGTGTACGCCGAGATTGGTTGAGCTACTCTATTTCAAGTAACCGAATCTTTTGCTTATACTGTATGTTTTTTGGTGACAAATATGTACAAAAGGGATGGACAGAAGATGGTTTTCAAGGTTGGAACCGACTGGGTGATATTAGTTGGCATGAAAAAACAATTTGTCATATTAATGCGTCAATTATTGTTAAGTTAAAACAAAACTCTGCAACTATTTTACCATCATTAGAGGAGAAAAAAAGAGAAGAAGTGGCTATGAATAGAGAAGTAGTAAATACATTGGTAGACATTACACAGTTTCTCGGGAAACATTCTCTTTCATTTAGAGGTCACCGTGAAAATTGGTCCGAGGCTAATAAAGGCAACTTTAAAGATTTAGCAGAAGTAATTAGTAAATGGTCACCTTCATTGGCTATACATATTGAAAAAATAAAAAATAAAGGAAGACAAGAAGTTAGTTTTTTGTCTTGGGAAAGACAAAATCAGCTGATCGATTCTGTGGCTTCATGTATCAAAGTAGTAATTAATAAACAGTTAAGTGACTCCCGATTTTTTAGTGTTTCTATCGATACGACGTTTGACATTTCCAGAAAAGAGCAATTAGCATTCATCATTCGTTATGTTAATTTTGAAAAACTGGAACCAGTAATTAATGAACGTCTTTTAGCCTTGAAAGAATCATCTCTTACATCTGGAAAGAATCTATTCATTATTTTCAAAGACATCTGTGCTGAAAATGGACTGAATTGGAAACGGTTTTTAGTAGGACAAAGCTATGACGGTGCAGCCAACATGCGTGGGGAGTATGCAGGCCTTCAAGCACTTGTGTGTGCAGATAATCCTGCAGCTGTATATACTTGGTGTTATGCACACCGCTTAAGTTTAATAGTTGTTCAAGGATCTTGTAGTTCCCAAAATGCAGTAGACTTATTTGGAAATTTGGAATCCTTATACGCATTGATTTCAAGTAGCAAAAAAAGAGTTTTTTGGTTTGATAATGCACAGAAAAAACATTATCCAATGCAACGAATCCATAGACTAAAACGTGTTGAGACAACACGTTGGTTTTCACTTTCATCAGCATTAAACACGGTAATTCTAACATTTAATGCTACGATTGACACGCTAGAAAAAATTCAGCAAGAAGAGGGATCTGCAGATTTTAAAAGTGGAGCAAAAGCAACAGGTTTAATGGAATATTTTCTTTCTGAACGATTTATTTTTACTGCATTATTATATATTGATATTTTCTATATTTTGGATCCATTAACCAGAATACTACAATCAATTAATATTGATTTATTAGGTGCTATGAAAAGTTTACACATAGTAACAGATAGAATAAAAAACATGCGAACAGACAATGGATTCACAGAACTTTGTAAAAAAAGCAAAAATTACATGGAAAAATCAGATTTTGAGTTCTCACCTTTACCTGTTCATCGTTTAAGAAAGAAAAAAAGATTATCCAATGAAGAAGTTGAGGATCATCCTATTACTGATCCTCTTTATGAATTTAAAATCAAAACATACTTTGTTTCTTTGGACACAATAATTACTGCTATAAATGATAGATTTACTTCTAAATCTCAAGATTTACTAAAAGATATTTCTCTTTTTTCTACAAAACGATTAAATGAAGTAAAAGTTTCAAACAACTCTTTGCCAATTGATGCGTTTAACACATTTTGTGAAATATACTCAAAGTTTGTACAACTTGATGATCTTAAAAAAGAGTATATGCAATTTGCCAATTATTTTTCTGAATTTTCTAATGTTATAAACTTACCCAAAAATTTACATGGTTGTACTAAAAAAGTTTGTGAGATGTCTGATGGTAGTGAAAATACACAAAGCGATGATTCTGATTCTAATGACAAAATGGACTACAATAATGAAAATACAAATTTAGTTAGTTTACTTGATTTATTAAAATTATGTCATACATCTGGACTAAAAGAAGTTTTTCCGACTTTTTATACCGCACTTCATATTGCAACCACATTGCCTGTTACAAGTGCCTCGCCTGAACGCACATTTTCAAAACTGAAAATTATAAAAAATCGACTACGTAGCACAATTGCACAAGGCAGACTTGAAAACTTAATGTTGATATCATGTGAAAATCTTCCAATAAATAACTCTGATGTCATTGATAAGTTTGCAAGTCTATCATCAGTCCTCTCTTCTAAATTATTATGAAATCTGTAATAAATGGTTTTTACTTTTTTTATAAATATATTTTATATACATTTATACTTGGTATATAAGTTTTGTACAATATTTAAGGAAAATAAAAAAAATAATTATGTAATTTTGATCAATGTGCAAACAACTGCTCAAAACAGTTTTAAGAAATCCATTTGAACATTCTTAAAAAAAAAAAAAATTATCAAATTAGTTATTTTATATATTATTTGATAAATTTTTTTCTATTTTAAATGGTACATTTATTTATAGACTATATCTAAAAAAAAATGTTTTGAGGTAAAAGAGGTGGTAAATTGGAGGGGTGGGTGGTGAATATAATTATTTGAACTGGTAGTTTCGATTTCATTCGGCGCCACTGATATAAATAATATTACACTATCCACTTGGCGTGACCGTACACTCGACACGGGTACCGCACATCGGCCATCGGTTTGCAGCAATGACACAAGGTTACCTATGAATTTTCACATCAATCGAAAGCCTAGCCTAACCTAACCTCGTGACTGCGCTACGGCGTAATTTCAGTGACGGCTGGCTGGTAAACGAAGAACTGAGATTTTGGTACTTAATAAATAAATTTGGCATTCCATATTCCAATATTTGGAAGGATTCGTACCACTTTTAAACAATCTTCAAAGTTCGATTAATCTATATAGGAAAGCGGAAATTTAGAGGGACGCGCCAAGACAATTACATTTACAAAAACTGAGAAATCGTACTTCCCAGTATTTCCTGGCCAGCAAATTTCGGATACCACACTTTAGTACGATATGTATGTAATGATGGTTTTAATAGGTCGATAATAAATTTAGATTTGTGTTACGATGCTTGGGAAAATAATAATAAAATAGTACTCTAAGAAATGTATAAATTGATAAACGGCCAAAATTAAACAAATTCTTGGAAACTGTTGTGAAATCGAGGTTCACACAATTACATAATATACAGAAAACGACTTTAAAATAAGATGAAAAATAATAACTCATATTTCTGAAATTTAATATATTATTATGCGAGATGATACCAGTATTATAGTTTTACTTACTATAGAATTTAGTATCTTTAAAGTTATGTAATATTTATAATAAAAATTAGATTGAGTTTATCAGTATTCGGGGACACCAGGACTACCTGGTGGTGCGGAATGCGCACTAAGAACTTTCATTTCACTACAAAAAAATACTTGAAATTAATAGATTTTTGTATTAATATTACTATTAATAATCGTCAGAGTGTACAGTGAAGATAAATTAAGAAAAAAATAATTAAGAATTTTATGTTTTTATGTCATGTAACGATAAAAAAATAATTATTACATAGGTTAGATGATTATATTAATATTTTACAAATACAAGTAGACAGTAATAAATAATAATCTTTAGTGACTTTTAAAACTAAATCTTTATTAAGTTTTAGAAATTAACATACATAAATTATTAGATGATTTCTGATAAAATGTATTTTAATCTTATAATAATAATAATTTTATATTTTCATAAACACCAGATGAACTTCTTATATGGCCATATAGTATTATAGCCTATAGCTGGTGTATCCTAATAGTGTTAGCAACAATTTAACTTTAGTCTGTGGGCGTCCCTGGGGTTTATGTAGTTTTATTTTAAACCGAAAAGGTTTTTTTTTTCTTAAATAAGCAATATTTACAATCTGTAATTTTCTTATAAATAAATTTAGTTACGTACTTTTGAATAATAATTTAAATTGTATAGTACAGTTTACAGTATGATAAATAAAAAAAACAACAACATGAAATTACAGGAGGAGGGGGCTGACCAGTGTGTAAATCATCAGACTTTGAAGAGGATTTCCTAATATTTTTTATTTATAAATCACGTCTCAAGAGATCCCAAATTGTTTCCATTACATTACTATTTACAAGTTAGGTTTACGCTTATCATCGTAGTTAATTTTAAATAAACATAAATAGCACCAACCCTGAATAAATTAGTTTATACTAATTTAATAAAACTAATTATGTATGTCTCGGAAAGTCGGAAATAACTATATAATAATAATATTAATTATTAACTATAACCAGGACCTGAGGTGTCCAGGTACATATACCGTTGATTAAAACTTGTGAACAATTTACAATAAATAACTCTAAAATATATTAATAATAGAACATACCTTTTGGTGGTAATTTCTCGGGATTAAACCATTTATCTGTAAAAAAAAAAAAAAAGTTTTATTCAACAATATCTTTATTTTATATTTTTTCAAACATTTAGAAATTCTGTAGCCCATTACAGAGAACAAATTGTTGTATAAACACGTGTATGGTACCTTCAAGTATTCTCATAACTAGAATAGACATATAGCTTTAGTATACTGTATACAATTACACGTAAACAAGTTATTTGATCCAATTTATAAGCCTTATACTAGATGTACGTATTATTGTTGACCTACCTACTATTGTAGTATTACAAGCTACATAACATATTGATGAATACCCAATGTACAAAATTAATTTGTGACATTCTAAAATTAGTTTTATTTCTTACAAAAACAACTTAAATAGTAAAAAAATTAAATTCAATTCAATAAAATAAATTACATAAATTATAATTTACTATGATATATCACTCACTGGGCCAAATCATTATACTCAGAAAGTTGTTTACAGGAACTGATACGTCGATATTATCTTCTTTTTCTGAATTCATATTTGTAACAATAAAAATCTATCAATTTAGTCACACACTTTATTAACAGAAAACCAAAATTACAGGTTATTAAAAAATTAATTTAACATAAATAACAGTACTAGTTATGGTTTTTATAATTATGTAAGTCAAATGTTCATAGTCTACGTTTATTACAAACTAATTTTTAAACAGTAAACAACAGCATACTTCAAGCAAGCGACAATGAATAATGATCGCATTGCACGTGTTCCCGCATTCGTAACTAAATCGTAACTCGTAAGATAGTACCGGTCGGCCGTCGGCGCGACGGTCTCACAGGTAATATCCAATACTGGAATAATATGCATTAGCGTTAGGCAGGGTAATTATTATTATTAGCTATTACAAAACCGATAATATTCTGCAACATTGGAAGTTCATGGATAAAAATAAACAAAAATGTCAACAGAAAATTAAAAGGAAGGATGTTATACCGATAACTGCATGACGCATTGACGCGTTGTTTCCATAGACCTATTCACTATAAATAGTTAAATAATTAATAATATGGTTGTTTCCGTCTTACAAACCCACAAGTGCACAACATACTAAATGTTACCTAATCTATTTTTCTCTGAACACAAAAGAGAATTGAGTATTGACTTATTAATAAATTTAAAAGTAAAAGTAAGAGCATAGGCGTAACTAGACCTTAAAGTTGTGGGGAGGCCCTAGCATTTTAATCATAAGTAAATTAACCCCGCAGACACGCGTTACATGAATTGTTTATAAAAGTAAATTAATATTTTATTATTAAAGTGAGTGTATAAAACTTATCATAAAAAAGTGAAATTAGGAGGTAGACATTAAATTATTAAAATATATTATTTTAGATAGGTATAAATTCAAGTTTTTAATTTTCTTATAATATTAGTGAACAGGCCCGTCGTTAGGCCGGCACAAGCAAGTCAAAGCAAAGCCCCTCCTATAGTTACACCTATCACCTATGGGTAAGAATATTAACCAGGGCACTTGCCACTCAGTAGTCTTTTTTGGATACCTATTTTAATTTTTAAGCAAGTTATGAGCATTTTGAAATTGTAGCTAGACGGATCATGAATCTAGAGTAAAATATTAAAAATAAACCGTACCGGATCTACCAATGATGTAACACTCGGCACAACATAATATTAGCGCCACTATGCTATATGCCTTATGAGTTTAAAATGTGCGCCCCTCTATGATTAGTGCCTGGGGCATGGTAACCTAACCCCCCTAGATCCAGTACTGAAAATAAATAATAGGGATTTATAAATTATAGTATAATATTTTATAAATTGTAATAGGGATTGCGGAAGACATTAGAATACAATAATACATAACACGTCATATTAAACAATATTAATGAATTAATATTATATTATAATATTATTAATATTAATGTTTATAAAGAAAGTTATGTTGATTTAGAATAAAATTAAATACACTATTACTGAATTAGTAATTAGTAATTCACTAATGACTAATAAGTACTTACTGATTCATAAAACACTAGATGTCAAATATTAATAATGCTATTATGCAACCATTTCAGTATTCAAAATATTAATTAATGGTAACATCATTCTATGATTCTATGGTATACAATACCTATACTTAATATGTGTGTCGACTAGTGTCTAGTAGTCTTTTGTATTTTAGTTATTGACTTGTCCATGTTTTATTTTATATTTGTTCGGGATAAGTGATTTTGTTTGGAAAACCGTACTTTTTATCTTAATTAGGCACAAAAATAAACATTTTCATAATTCAGTAAGTAATTCAATAATATATTTATATTTGAGTTAAAATTTAATAAAAAAAAATAATAACTTAGTAAGAAGATATATAATTAACAAATAAAATTACCTACCTATCTAATGATTTAGTGATCAGTATAATTGCATCAAATGTATATTATATTGGTTATTTTCACCGATATACAATCTAACCTACCTAATATAAATTATATAATTATATATTAACCTATTTATGACATTTTAAAATAAAATATTAAGTGTAAAAATTAATATAAAATAACATATATCCAAATATTGATTTAATATCATATTTATTTAAAAGTTGGAATAATGACTAATATAATATAATATGATGTTGATCGGAAATTTTATTCTGGAATGTATAAACTAAATGTTATAAAATAATATAAGTGTTGAAGTTCTAAAATTGTATTGCTCATAGGTATCTAAGGATTTAAGGGAACAATTGCAGTTTAGCTACCACGAGATTTTTTCAAATTTTTTTTTCGAAACCTAGGTAAATCAACGTTTTAAAAATGATGGTGCCAAAAAAAAATTGCGCAAACTCTTAGTTTTTGAGTTATAACTGTTAGAAATTCAAAAACTCCTAAATTTTGAATTTTTTTTTTGTGGTAGACTTATGTATTTTGACTATTTAAAAACGATGGTGCAATCAGAATTTGTCGATCGAATTTAGTTTGAAAGTTATAGCGGTTTTAAGTTATGAAAGTTAAAAGTTGCAGAGATCACGAGTGTATTGGCACTCGTCGCTACGCTCCTCGGCGCCGTCGCTCCGCTCCGCAAATCGAAAATATCCCCCGATTTGTTGTGTAAAACCACCTCAGGTGAACCTCGGAATTAAACAAAGTTGTTTTTTGCCAATTACAGAAACATTTATAATTACGATATTTGGATTCAGAGAAATTATATATCTGAAAAATATAACCGGAGCAGGTAAGGCGCAACTACCTCACTTGGCGACTTGGTTCAACAAAAAAAATTTTTCTTTAAAAATCCAAAATTTTTAACTTAAAACCGCTATAACTTTCAAACTCAATTCGATCGAAAAATTCTGATTGCACCATCGTTTTTAAATAGTCAAAATACATAAGTCTACCACAAAAAAAATTCAAAATTCAAAATGCAATATTTGGGAATTTTTGAATTTCTAACAGTTATAACTCAAAAACTAAGAGTTTGCGCAATTTTTTTTTGGCACCATCATTTTTAAAACGTTGATTTACCTAGGTTTCGAAAAAAAAATTTGAAAAAATCTCGTGGTAGCTAAACTGCAATTATACCGAAAAACCAAATAAATTAAATAATAAAAAATATTATATTTAAATGTGTATAAATGGTATAACATTAATATGTTTTTACTCTAATAATAACCTACAATAGAGTTACTAACACTAGTAATAAACAAATTATAATAAATGCCTGTGTCATTTGAGGGGCATTATGATTTATGATTTAGTGACTCATTATAATAGAATAGAGATCAAAAGATCGTTGGTTATAAGGTCAGCGTTGAGATATTCTACAAAATTCAAGGTAATACTTCCAGTTGACAATCATAATATTTTTAATAATACAAGTAAGAATATCATATCTACAGTAAGTTATCAGATATTGTATATTTGTATCAATAATATATGATAATTTATGTTACTGGAATTTTAGTTATAAGAATTTGTTGCTAAATAAAATTAAATGTAAAATTATAATTACTAATTCTACATAGATATAATCAATATAACAGTTTAGACAATATGGAAACTAAATTCATAACAGGCAATATTGTCATCACTATGTATATAGCGGTATATAGTATGTATAATTTTTTCATGTTGATAGTTATATTATTAGTAGTTCAATGGTTATGCTCAAAAGTCGATTGTCCTTGCAAAAAGATTTTTCTTTCTATATCCAGGATCATATTTGAACAAAAACCCGGGACAACATATTTTACCCATCCACCCCTTCAAAAAAAAATAAGTCTTAAATAGTAAGATACAACTACTATTTTGGGTCATAAATGCAGTTTAGTTCTATAACAAAAAGTAAGTACAATTTCTGATACAGCCTAAATATTAAGAATGAAAAAAATTAAATTCACAAAAAAAAAAAATTAATACAGCCTAAATATTAAGAATGAAAAAAATTAAATTCACAAAAAAAAAAAATTATTTTACCTATGGTATTTAAAAATTTAAAAACAAGATTTTGAAATTTTTTAACCATAACATCCAAAGAAAAATTTGTTGGACTTTTTCAAAGGACCATAATGGCACTTAAATTATTGTTAATATAATATTAAGCATACAACAACACAAATGTTGAAAAAAAATGCTCAAAAATTACTTGGGGAGTAAACTGCATTCATTCCAATATTACATATTTTCATTTATTAGTTATCTCTTAAATCTCTAGGAAATCCAATGGTTTTTTTTTACCAGACACCCTTTTTTTGTGTTAACCTATGTAGTTAAATATGACAACAACTATGATGACGTCAGAATTTGGCAGTTGGACTTAGTTTTAAAGTTATAACCTATAGCTGTTATAGTTATAGCTGATTGAAATGTATAGTATTTCATATAAACCCTGTGTGGTTTTTTCACTTCACTTAATTCAAATCAACTTTTAAACTTATCTAATTGAAAAATATTAAAATTAGGTATTTTTATCATTAGGGGGAGAATGTAAAAGGCCCAAGTATCTACCTCTATAATGGCGATACCAATACAAGTGTTATATAACCATTAAAAAATAAATCCCAAACCAACAAAACTATTATATAAGAAATGATTAATCTCACCTAATCCGATTCTACAAAATAGTTCATCAGGTCCAATCTTTATGTCACATACATCTCCTTCATCAGTATCTTTTTTAGTGGACACTTTTGGAATAACTTCTGGAGTCTCTGAAGTTTTTACTTTGGGTTGTACAGTATTCACAGGTTCATTTTCCTGAATAATCACTGGTTTTGTATTATCTGTAGTCATAGGTTCTAGTTTTTCAGAAATTACTGGTTCTTCTGCTTTAGGAGATTCTATTTTTGGGAGATTTGGAATATCCTCGACTTTTGTATTAGACACTGGATCGTCTTCAAATAAGTTATCTTTTTCTTCGTCAGATATGTTGTTATCTTCAACTTCTTCCTGGACATCATGAATTGGTTTGGATTCCTGATCAATTACCTCAAAGGTGTTTTCAAGTGGAGCTGTCTTTTCAGCATTAACCACTTTCTCTGGCACATTGATAAGGTCATCATCAATAGCATTTTCATATTTGTGTTTTAAGCCTTCAGATCCATCATCAGTGTCCGAAAAAATAGTTTTCTGGTCGTTTTCTGTTAAATTGGTTTCTAAATCCAATAGTTTCTGATTTTCCATCTTAAAATTATTGTGGTCAAATAGTATAGTGCACAATTAAAGCCGGTTTTTAAATAATAGGACAGTGTACAGTGTTTAGGCAAATAATTGATAAATCTACAAAGGAACTATGAATTAATACTGAGTATTTGATTTTTGGTATACGTTTTCTGCGAGAAATAATGATCACAGTTTTCTCGAATATGAGTAAATGACTAGACAAATTTCGTAAAATGTGGTATATAAAATATCAAAAGCTGCCTCTAGTACCTACGTTTATGCGACATACCAGCTGATATGATAACTGAGTAGTGGACAATCAATAAGCAGTTTGAAGCCCTCGTCGAAGACTGCAATGCAGGATTACAACCGTCTACCATTTTTTCACAGACCGCAAACAAAATACAATTTTACGTTAATGGTACAATATTTTGAATAATATGGAAATTATGATTTATCACTAAACCACCAACTGGGTGACAAAATAATAGTGGTTATATACTAATTTTTCATATTTACAAGTCCATTGTTCATAAATAATAAAGATTCTTTATTATTCTTCATTAATTATTATTTACACACTTGATCAAAATATGTTTAGACTTTTTCATATACGGTTAACCTGCACGAATCGTTATTATTTGAATTTGATAGTAATGTTATCACTGTCCTTAAAAAAATTTAAAAAAAACTCATTACAAATTTACAACATAAGAAATAAAATATAATATTGTTAATTATTTTTATGAGAGTGATGAGACATGAACCATGAACAATGAATACCTGTTATAATTTTTTTTTGGCTATTATTCAAAATACCCGGTGAATTATTGACTATTGTTCATACCAACATATTTTATTTTGAATTACGTGATCAATTTAAAAAATGATAATTGACCCCACAGGATAAGACAAGATTTAAACTAAAAGTATAAACACTTCATATAAAAATAATTTAAGATGGTTAGGATAAGTGTCTATAAATCTATATTATAGTATACAAAATAATCTGTAGTGTACTAGTATCTGTATAGTGTGTACTGACTATGAACTTATATTGTACGTATTAATGTATTATATAATATTTTTAATAATTTTTTTTTTTAGATAAATTTCAAAATCTATCAGATTAAAGTTTAGAGGTAAAACATAATGGCCTCAGTGCTAAATAAATCACACGTAGATCATCTGAAGTTGAAAGGATCTCTAGAAAAGGTAATAAAAGTCTTTGTAAAGTTTATGTATAATTTTAAAATTATTTTAACTCTGATTTTAACCTTTTAAAATAAAATAACTCAATATAAACTAGGAAAGAGATACTTACAAGTTACAAGAAAAACAATCCCACATTATTTGATTTGTGAATTGTGAGCATTTATAATGAAAAATAATTTCTCAATAATTATTATATTGAATGTTTTAAAAAAAATTAAAATTTATAAGTTCTGATCTATTTTAACTCATTAGCTATTTTATAATAATATTTAATATACTATTTTTAGTAATATAATGTTTTTATTTCAGAAAATAACTCATGATATTCTTGATGTGGAAGAATCATATGAAAAAATGTCTTTATATACATCAGTTTTGGCATGTTTGGGATTTTATTTTTTGATTTTTATTGGATTGATAAATCATATTGTTTTTACTCCCAAAGTAGCTACTGAAAAAAATCGCAAGGTATAAAATGAATGAATTTGCATATTTTATATTAATTACTATTCAATAATACATTTAGGGATATCCACCACTGTACAATAAATTTGATAGCATATTTTTGAGGTATGTATTTCGGCGTGTTAAAGACATTTTTAATCGAGTAGTTTGTGGTGTACCTGGTGCAAAGATTGATATCATCGATAGGGTAACTCATGACAGTTGTTGGTCATTTGAGTAAGAATATTTTATTATTATTTATTACTACTATTGTTTAATTAAGTAATACAAATTTAAACATATTGCAGGCTTCTGGACACAAAATCTACTTTTCTAAATTTAGGTTCATATAATTATTTAGGTTTTGCTCAAAGTGAAGGTCCATGTGCAGATGATACTAAAGACATAATAAAGAAATATGGTTGGGCAGTCAGTAGTTCACGTCAGGAACTTGGAACTAACAATCTTCATTTAGAGCTCGAACAACTAACAGCTGCATTCTTAGGTGTTGATGCTGCTATAGTATTCGGTATGGGATTTGCTACTAATGCTCTGAATTTACCTTCCATCATAAATTCTGAATGCTTAGTACTAAGTGATGAATATAATCATGCGTCTGTTATTTTGGGGATACGACTGTCAGGGGCCACATCTGTAGTATATAAGCATAATGGTAATGGTTTATTAAATATTTATAAAACAAATAATTTAAGTTCATAATAGAGATATTACGAACTGTTTGATTTTTGAACCGAACTCTGGGTGTTCGGTTATATAATTGAACCAGAGAAATAAAAATAAAAGTCAGTTCATAAGGTTTCTAATAGGTGTCACTAATCTAAAATTTTTAGTCAATAATTCTGTGGTATGGTGGCTAAGTTATAAATAAATATAAAATAATATCCAATTTTGACTTTTTTAATGTTCGTTTCGAGTTCGATAAAATATTTGAAGAGTTTAATTTGGGTTCGATTAAAAGTGTGTAGGTTCGGATCTGTTCAGGTTCGTTCATTTAGAGAAAAGTTCGGTTCAGGTTTTGTTCGACCTTAAATACTATGGTTCGTAACATCTCTAGTTCATAATTTAAATATCAAAACATTTTATTTAATAAATAAGATCAAAACTTATATTTTGGTTTGGTTTCTATTTAAGCCTGACTTTAAACAGTTCTAAGTTGAAAAATATAAAACATGACAACATTTTTATACATTTCAAGAATCATACTTTATTTAAATCTTCTTAAAATCTATTTATAACCAATAACCATATTATACATTATAATAAATATTTTTGTTTCAATTTTTTTTAGATGTAATAGATTTAGAACAATTAATACGACAAAATATTGTTTCTGGTCAACCGAAAACTCAAAAACCTTGGGAAAAAATATTTATTGTAACTGAAGGCATTTTTAGCATGGAAGGATCAATTACAAACCTTCCAGATATAATTGCCATAAAAAAAAAATACAAAGTATTTATCAGTTGTCATAATTATGACTAACCATATTATAATATTACATTGTTATTTGCAACAATTAGAAGAAACAAAACATTTTAGGTTTATTTATATGTTGATGAGGCTCATAGTATTGGAGCCTTAGGACCAAATGGCCGAGGTATATTCGACTATTATAACTGCTGTCCAAAAGATGTTGATATATTAATGGGCACATTTAGTAAATCATTTGGTTCAGCTGGAGGGTATATAGCTGGCAATAAAGTATATATAAAATATAATTTTGATTAAAATATATAACTATGTTTTTTGTTCATATCAACTTTTAATAACTGTCCTGTTGGCTATTTTTAGGATTTAATTGACTATTTGAGAGTAAATAGTCATGCTTCATGTTACGCCACATCTATGGCACCACCTGTAGCTCAAGTAATTATAACATCTATGTCAATGATAATGGGGAAAAAACATGGAGAAGAAGGTAGAAAACGAATTATCCAACTAGCAAGTAATGTCAAATATTTCCGAAGGAAACTTAAGGCATTGGGTTGTGTAGTATATGGAAATGACAACTCTCCTGTTATTCCTATGTTGGTGTATATGATATCTAAAGTTGGGCAAGTATAATAGTACTATTATTTTTCATAAGTAACTGTCATATTATTATTATTTGTTTCAGGGCAACAGTTAGAGAGTTCAATAAATTTAATATAGCTACGGTTGGTGTTGGTTTTCCAGCTACTCCATTACTTGAAGGAAGAATTCGTTTTTGTATGTCAGCTGCTTTGTCAAAGGAACAACTTGATGAAGTAAGTATATTATGTGTGATATTTATGGAAAATTTAAAAGGGCAGATTTTTTCATAGTTAGTAGGTACTTTTTGCAGAGTTAGATAGATATTAATTTTATGAATTTTAAAAAGCGTAATGTTTATGTTGCATATTTTATGTGAATATTTATTTTGTTACATTTTTATTTCAATAATTGTTATATTTACCTCTTTATTTTAATGTATTAATTTCGATTACTAAAAATATTTAAAAAAATTATTATTCATGCCATTAAAAACTACAAATTAATTATTTAATTTAAAGCCAAGCAAAGTTCTTAATAAATTGACAATATCGGTTATAAATATACATACTAACTAAAATACTTAATTAGTAGTTACTACTGAAAAAAGTGTGTAAAAAAACCTTAAAATAATATTAATTACTTAACCCTAGATCACACGCATTTACAATATTCACGAGAATACACGCACACGGTCTTTTTAGTCACACACAGTATGGCGCAAACCATGGTCAACTAACCAGTCACAATGAAAACATAATAAACAATCAATTTTGTTTATCGAGCAGCAATTGTTAGAAACACAGTTTAAAAATAACCCATACTTGATTTTTTACGATCACGCACACAGTCTTTTTGACCGTATATTAATACGTAATGCCTGGTAATGAACTTTGAACACTTCTATATTACTGACATCAGATCGTATACATTTGAGAGTTGTATCTAATTTTAGTTTATCACCTAATTAGAAGTTACCTAGGTTGGATTAGGTTAATATTTCATATTTTTGAAACAATGAACAAAATTCTTAAATCCCGGTCTTTTTGACCGTGAAGCGTGTGCTCTAGGGTTAATAATTTAATACAATATGAAACATTTTAGTTTCATTTTATTTACTAATTAAAATTTAATATAATATGTAGGTATTATATATTTATTATTAAATTACCTATGCTTTTTTATATTTTTTAGGTTCTGGTTGCCACGGAAAAAATAATGAATAAACTGGGTTTGTGTTATTCTAAAAAAACAATTTCTGACGAAGAAATACTATACGAGAACCCATATTAATTTAAATACCCACTGTTTTCATTTTTGTTTCATAAAGTTAACTAATTTTGTATTGTGTACATTTAATTTTTGAATATTCGCATTTAATACAATTAATAAATAAACTGTAATAAAACTTATGTGACCATGATTTAGCATAATATTATGGCTATACCATGCTTCTTTACATTTACAATGTTTGTTGACCTTTAACGCACAATAAAAAAAAAATGATTTTTCTTCTCATTTAAAATTTAAATCAATTATGTTATAAGAAACTTACAATAACACTGAGAATAATTCTATTAAGCTGCAGTCACACAATGATAGTATTGCTTGATAGTTGCTTTTACACAGCGTACTGTCACTGTACGAACCCTACAATAGTTACTATCACCATATCTACTATTGACTATCATGCATGCATGATTAAGCCGGATTTACACGATGATAGTAAAACGCGATAGTTGCTATCGTGATAGCTTCTCTCGTGAGAGTGTCATCGTGTAAACGTAATTATCGTAACTATCGAACTATTGCGATAGTGCTATCACACTATCAAGCATGCATGATAGTTGGTAGTTCTATCGTGATAGTCCTATCGTTCTATCATCGTATGGATACTTCACTTTCATGACAATAACTATCAGGCATTATCACGATAGCAACTATCGCGTTTTACTATCATCGTGTAAATCCGGCTTTAGTTCTATCACGATAGTGACTATCGCGTTATTTCTATCATCGTGTGACCATGGCTTTAATTATTTTGATGAACACATTTTTCATGATAACTTTTTACATGACATCAATCAATTATAATTTATATCGGAAGTCTAATGTCATTATAATAACAAATTAAAATTACACTATTTAAGTATCAACATTGGACCACTTGCATATTTATTTAGTAGTTTTCTAAATGGTCTTTAAATTATTAAATTATTAAATTATAAAAAGTATAACTATTAATATAATAATATGGTAATTTATAATTTAATATAAAACTATAAAACATACCTAAAAAATATTTTTTTATTATAATAATATATACCTGTATATTATGTAACATTATAATCAAACAAATTACAAATTTCAAAAAATTCAAAATATTAGTTTTAAGAAAAAAAAATTATTTTTTATTATTTATTGTAATATTTAATCAAACAAATTACAAAATGTAAAAAATTCAAAATATTAGTTTTTATAAATAAAAGAATAAAAGCCATTCATTTTATAATTTATGAAATTAGGCAATTAACAGTTTAGTTTTTGTAAAGATTTAGATACTTATTACAAAAAAAAATTTTATAAATATACTTGCACGTAATTATTTATAATTAATTATCATTCAATTCAAATTGAGTTTATGATAGAAACTAGAACAGTTGAAATTGTTAACAGATAGTCAAATGACTTTTCACATATATTAGATAGATACAAACATAACTCTTCATTTGTTTTATCAGTTGAATTCAATATGTAAAAAGCTGTGACAACAACTGCTGCTGCTGTAGTTATTTTGTCAAACTCAATGTCTAGTAGTTTCAATCTAATAATAGCAAAAGTATCTATCATTTATATTTTGTATCACAATATTAAATATTGTAATAATTAATAGTTTATAATACTGTTATAAAGCTTAATGTTTTTATTTACTTTTCACTGTAAGTATGGATTCTATATCCTGTCTTTTGATACTGTAGCCGATCATAAAGCTCTTGTTGATAAATATAAACAAAATCTGTCAGCAATAAGCATGTAGAATGCAGACTATCCGTAGTAGTGAATGGGATCACGTCAATGAAATATTCAACCAACATAAATATTGATGGTTCATTCAGCTAAACCAATTTTATATTACTGATAAATGTAGATTTTTTTCATTACAATATAATTTAATATTTAACCTTATAATCAACTATACGGAAGACTTCAGCTTCTGAATAACGAATATATTTTTTTGTATACATACGCCCAGTTCGCTCTAGTATAACTTTGATATCTTTTAATTTAAGACTCTATACACAAACATGAACATTTTTATAAACTGTAAAATTCTAGTACAGGTATTAAAATTATTAAAAAATTTATATAAATTAATCAATATATTAAACATCATTAAATAATTTAAATTTATAATCCTTTAAAAAAAATGTTAGAGTGAATATTTAAACTATATAAATATTTATAATTTACATAAATTACCAATGATTGTTGAGCATACTTCGACAGCAATTGCATGCACGACATAACTCGTAAATAGGATTGTTTCTTGCACTGCTTTAAAAATTTCACCCATTTATTTGAATGTTTACTATAGATTTTCTTATGCTTGTAAATGAAATATTCAGATAAAAATCTAAAAAGATTCAATTAATTAGTATACATGTGTAATATGATAATAACCCCTAACTAGGTATACAAGCTGATGTACTTTGTACACTTAACTTTCCATTTATCTTGTTCTATTTTCAGTGGCGTATTTACGGGGGGGGTCCCCGGGTCTGGACCCCCCCCAGAAAAAAATATAATATAATATAATTATTACATCGTAACTCGTATGTGTTTTTTTTATATTATAAACTTGTAGGTACCTAATATTTAGACCCCCCCCCAGAAAAAATTTCAAAATACGCCACTGTCTATTTTACTAAATAATTGTTTTCAGTTATTCTCCTATAACCTTTCCTTATCATATATACAGGTGGATTTTTTAAGCATGTTCATCCACATTTTTTCCTTTAATAGTGCACTTATTCAAATTCTGATTGTTAGAATTTATAAGTATATTTTAAGACCATATTTTCAAATTCCTAATTTTTTTTTACTATCCAATACAAGCTTCTGTTTTTCAAATAAGGACCCTTTCCTTTATACTGAAAATTTTTATGTAACTAAATATAAATTCTAATGAGTAGTTTCTGAGTTATTGAAATGATTATTCAAAGGATAATAACACTTAAAAATGATTTTACTAAAATAGTAAAATGTAAGCTACATGTAATATAAGATGTAGTATTTATTGTACTTTGATCATTTTTATTAAAAATGAAATGTATTGAAAAATCAATAGTAATTAGTAATTACTAACATTTTCAAATCGCTTAACCATTACCGCATAGACATAATAACTGTAGTTCCTACACGGTCATAAGACTCAAAAAGTACTCTATTGAATTTTGATTTAAATACATCGAAATTCTTATAAAAAATATCTCCTTAATAATATTAAAAATAGTGATTCCTATACGAACAACAGAAGTTTGTATCATTCTTAATTGCTACAAAATATCTCAAGTATTCAAAAATATGGTCTTCTGAGTATATTTGAAAAATTACAAAAATCAGAATTCAAGCATTCAAACAGGACGAACATGCTTAAAAATTCACCCTGTATAATAATTAGAAATTCGCCAGACATGTAATATTTTAAAGTTTTACCTCTTATATTGGATGATCATACCGATTATTTATTTAATATTTAATTATTGTACTGGTCACATCGTACGTTTTAATATGAAGTTAATTATTTTATAAGTAAATAAACGAAATTTTATAATGTGCAATACCATATTGGTGTCTGTGTGAACCAAATGGGTGTAAAAAATACACAGAGCGTGTAATTATTGAAAAACAAATAGCGCATAATATTGTAGTTTGAAATAAAATCATACTTTTGGTTTTTTAGTATTACCTATCATATAACTCGACGCATTTGTATTTAACAGTGTTATCCATACCACATTCATCAGCAAGTTTAAATATAAATTGTACAACTTTGGGTGAAAACGATCTGAATGGGTAAGTACCATTAAAATAAAATGTTTTCAAATTTTGAATGTTTTTCTTGTACAATTTAAACCATTGAACCATATACGTTCCTAAAAAAATTGTATAATTGTTAGTTGTTTTTTAATTAGTTATCAAGTTTAAAAAATAGAATATTGCACTACTTTCGTCGTATTCTTTATTAATTCTCATCTTGTTTACAATATTATAGGAACATATCATCCATAAAAATGCAATCTAGAGCATTCCGTCACAGAATAGATGAATCATCTATTCTGTGATTCCGTGATCAAATAACCGATCTTATCCGTAGACCTTATACCTACTAGTACACTATAGATAGTACAATATTACAGTACTAACTACCATGACAAATTATACATGCTAACTACTGTCTACTAGGTTTATTGTATTTGTATAATAACTTTTTCACTAGACAATAAATGATCGAAAATCGTCTCCACTCTTTTATCAGTATTATTTTATTCTTTGGAAATGGGAGTATTTCAACTTTCAAGCAGTACGCCAGGTACCTATCTATGGTTTACCGCCATATAATTTATCTGTTTATAGGTATAAACCGTATATGGTAAATACCTTAAATCATATACATAGCTCCATCCATTGTATATGATCTAAGGTAAATACCTATACGAATTAAAATATACCCATAGATATATTATATAGGTATTATTATTACTATTATAAGTAAGAAAAACTACTTTTTTTATAAATTCATACAATTTTATAAAACTACTATAATACTTTATAGATTTGTACCATTCTGCTTTGATTGTATATGTTAGTTGACAGAACAATAAAATTGCTTTAAAATTAAAAAAAATTACGACACAAAGTAAGAATGTATTGAAGACATAAAAAAATTTGTAGATTCTAGGTAACCAACTATAATAGGTTCAGTTTTGTTTAATAAAAGTTTAATTACCATAAGCATAACTAAAAATATAAATAAGTTAGACCTCCGTATGAATCTACTGTAGGTATAGCCGTATAGGTAGCCATGAAGGAACTTATAATTTATAATAAGATACCTACAATATATATATTTAATCAACACTACAACATACGAGACTACAACTAACTAACTAATTCTGGGTAACAAGTCTACCGAGTAACAGACAAACAGCAGGTACAAATTAAAATCAACACTTAACAGGCTTAATTATTTAATATACCTAGGTAATATAGGTAGTAGGTACCTAATATTCATGAAATAAGAAAATACGAAATAGGTACTAGATATATAAGTAGGTTGAATGTTGATATTAAACTAGTAACTACTATACAAGCCCGGATTAAGGTGGTCAAGGGAGGGGGCAGGAGGGGCACGGTCCCGGGGCCCTATTTTATCCCCAAAGTATTTTATATCATGAAAAACTACTAAATTATAATAAATATAAAATTGATATTCTATGATGAAGTTTATAAAATGGTATATAGTTATGAGTCATAACGATAACTATATACCATTTTATAACTTATGACTTACGAACTTACGAACTTACGAACTACATCGTACACATAGATTATGGTCTTTATTATCTATGATTGAAGATTGTACAAAACTATATTTATATATATTATATACCTACTATTTAATACAGTCGTAAAAACGTAGTAATACAATTTTTTGAAGTTAAATTTGAAAGGGGGCTTACTAAGTGTACGGTGTATTGGTGTCCTGGGGCCCAATTAATCCTTAATCAGGGATTGCTGCTATAACTAGTTTAATAATTATTTAAGTTAATACCTATAGGCTATAGCATTATGGTTTTATTACCCATTTTTTGTATTTATTTCACAGTGTATTTATATTTATTGTATTTATTATATAATTATATTATAGTTGGCCAATTACGTACATATAGGCTACAAGTTACAAAATATACAACAGGGCACACATACATAATATAATATAATAAATTATCTACGAGGGCACAGGCACAGAATATCACCAAAATAGATTATTAATTATTATCATTCTGAGTTTTGACTTTTTACTTTTATATATTTACACCAATATTAAATGGATTATTTTTTCTTCATAAAAAACGTTGGCGTGCCTGCCCGGTTGAAGATAAGTTATCTATTTGACATCATTATAAAATACAATATTTTAATAATTTTATCGTATCGTTATAGGTAGTTAAAAAAAATATAAATTATATAATAAACTGGATTAAAATTTAAAAATTAAAACGTCTATTCAGCTCATTGCTATATTTTGATTATCGGTTAATAATCGTCAGTGATCTATAGTTTAATAGACAAAAAAATGTTGTAATTTATACGGAAATCATGAACACTACGATAACACTATAATACTTATATATTGAATACGTTCTGTCGGGCTACATACACAAATATGACATCATAGTCCATAGCAAATGAAGATAAAATATATTCATTTTGCTGAGTGGACGAACGAAATAATCATATGGCTTTTATAAACGATTTTGATTTTTGTTTCACCATGCAAACGGTATCTAAACTACCTACTAAGGTAAAATCAAAATAAAGTATTTAACACCTATATAAATATACGTCATTTAAATTCCTAAAATATATTTACTTGATGGATGAGTTCCAATAAATACTCTATTCATATATTTTTGTTTTCCTCAGAGTATGTTCAAGATGTGGTAGTCAATGGGAGTCATAAACGATTAAAAATGGTAGACCCAAACACTAATGATGAAGAAACTCTAGTCGAAGACTCTTCAATTATTACATCATTTTCAAAAATCAGTACTGCTCTCTTCTACGCCGCTGCGTCCATGTTGATCACTGTAGTAAATAAATCCGTTCTAACAAGTTACGGGTTTCCGTCCTTCCAGTTTCTAGCCATTTGCCAAATGTTTATGACAATTTTTGTACTGTTTACAGCCAAAAGTCTTGGAAAACTAAAATTTCCAGACTTAAATCGGCACACCTTAAAAGATACGTTTCCAATGCCTCTGATATATTTAGGTAACATGGAGTTTGGTTTGGGCGGAACCAAAGAATTAAGCTTGCCCATGTTCACCATGTTGAGACGTTTCTCCATACTGATAACCATGTTGGGTGAATACTATTTGCTCAATATTAGGCCCAAGTTCTCTGTCAAGATATCGGTTGGCATGATGGTCTCTGGTGCTGTTATAGCAGCAAGTAACGATCTGGGATTCAATTTCAACGGATACATGTTCGTATTGTTTAATGATTTCCTGACAGCCGCAAATGGAGTATTCACAAAGAAAAAATTAAACTCCAAAAAAGAAATGGGCAAATACGGACTTATGTATTACTCATCATTGTTCATGATACCACCCGCTTTAATATTGTTGTATTTTTCGGGTGATCTAGATAAAGTATACAGGTACAAAATTAAACATAATTACTCGGTAAGAACAAAATCATCAAAATTTTGTTTTGTTTGTTTACAGATTCAGTTATTGGTTGCATACACCGTTTTTAATCCAAATTTTCATCTCATCTATAATGGGTTTCATTTTAAATTATAGCATAATGTTGTGTACTCAGTACAATTCAGCTCTGACGACAACAATAATCGGATGTCTTAAAAATATATTTGTCACTTATATGGGCATGTTTATCGGTGGTGACTATGTGTACACATTGAATAATTTCATTGGCATCAATATCAGTGTTATTGGTAGTCTTTTTTACACTTACGTCACATTCAGACCATCTGCACCATCTCAAATAAAGTTGCCAAATACTATTAATATATAAAACTATGATTTACAAAATATTGTCTGATTTATATCAAATTAAAGTATGTATTAATTATTTTATAATACTAGTTACCCTTTAAATTATTGTATATTTTACTTGAACGAGAACAATATATTTGTTACTTTTATTTATTGTTGATAATAAATTGTAATATTTTATTATATAAAGTTTAAACGAGAACAAATGTGATTGGACTTACTATTTATAATGTATATATATATATATATATATATAAATATATTTATTTGCAGATAATAAAAATATAAATATTTTTTATTATTATCGAATAACTGAATAAAACATTTCATGGAAGCTACAAATGACCTGGTCTACTAGATTATTGGGTGTTGTTTATTCTTACACATCAAAATAAAACAAATTCAAATATCAATGTAATTATTTATATTATATAAAAAAATATTCCAGATAATTAAATTAACATTAAAATAAAATGAACACAACTAAAAGTTAGACTTGAATGAACTATAATTAAAAATAACAATGATCTCTATTTTATCCATATACAGTAGAGCACCGATCAATTCGGACATGCAAAAAAAAAATTATTTTTATAACTTGTAATTGTTGTTCAAATATTTGCCATCGCAATATGACTTATATACCTAAAATATTGATATACTCCATCCAATTAATATTGGCTATCGCAGCAGTGCCCGTATTATGGTATTTATTGTTAATTATCCAGATATTTCTATAAACAGACCATCTTTGATATTAATTTAGTCTGGTTAATCGGTGTTCTACTGTAATTTGTATTACTGCCGTTCAATAATCAAAGGCTAATAAGATTATCACCTGAATGATAAAACAAATTTTGTCTAAAGAGAAAAAAATACAAGTCTTACATCATGTTTAAAATATATAATTAATATATGATAGTAAGAAGTTTTTTAAACCAAACATTCACAGAACTTAACAAATCTTACAATAATTTTATTTATCTACTAAATATATCAAACAATATGATTATGAATTATATTATATATTATGTACATGTCCAATATAAAACGCTAAAACTGAGAGTAGTTATGAACTCTGATAGTATTAAGAAATTAATATATAATTCATAAAATAAAAATCACAATTAACACACTAGTTTTAAGAGGTTCTATAGTTTCATAGATTCAAACTAAGAGTGTACAAACTATATTCTTAGTTTACTGCTTCATAAAAGTTATATTCAGAAAGCGTAAGCTATACTTTGAGTAAAATAAGAACAGTCGTCGGCAGCCAAGTTCTGCGCATGGGCGTGGCTTAGTTCCGTGGCAGCGCCCGACGTGTCGCCGTAATGGGAACGGCGTCTAACCGCCGCCGACTACTATTCTTATTTTGAACAGACTATAGTATAGTATGTATGCATTGTTGAGAATAAAGAAATATTGTAGATATGAAGATAAACACCAATAACATAAAAACAGATAGAAACCAATCAGAATTCAACTATTCAGGCAAGTATGAATTTTCATCGGTAATCAAAAATACTATAATTAAATTAATAATACTAAAATAGTATAAAGTACATATTTTTTCAGTAAATTGTTGTAGAAAATAATTTAATCTAACATCAGTAAACAGTCAAAAAATATAAAATCTTAAGGAAAAAAATTGCTTATTCATTTTCATTTATAAAATGTTGAAGAAAAATTTTTTTTACAAACAGGAGAAATATTGGAAAAACGGAATAAGAATTTAAAAAATATAATCTTTTTAAATATAAAAACCTACACGAAACCATAAATAAAATTGAGTTATCTAATGACATGGATATAATAAGTCTTAATGCCATTAGTTTGTACATACATATCAAACAGATTTGAACATTTGGAAATGTTAAAATCAACCATATAAAAATGTTTACTGTAAAAATATGATAATACAGTCTTTTATTAAGAACTCGCTGGGGGTTGAAGTTCTGGATTTTCAGAACGCATGGCATCCAGCTTAGCAAATATTTTTAATGCTGGTCCAAGTTTCATAGACATGTCTCTTATTAAATGATCTTCTTTGAGCAACATCAAAGCTTGACCATCAATTTCATGACTTTCAAAATCTGCTGCTATTTCTTCACTGTCTGTAAGTTGACCAATAAACTTCCGTACATCTTTTACCTAAAACATTACCATAAAAGTATAACAATTAATAAAAAGGAAAGATAAAAATAAAATCAAAAATAATAATGACTTACAGTCCATGTCAACGGATTAATAGGACACAATTCAGGAGCCACATCTGCCTTAACGTCAACATCAATTTGCATTCGATTTGGCAAATCAAGCGATGAACCTGTATTGCTAGAATCACCAGCTGAACCATTGCTTTCACATTCCTAGTTTATATTATTTTTATATTAACAAATAATTTTAAATAATATACAACAATATCACACTGCATACCCAATTTTTCCCATTCTTTTTGTCTGTTTGTCCAGTTTTTGAACTATTTTCAAATATTTTTGAGCATTCTTGAGAACAAAAGCGTTTTGATTTCTTTTTAATTTTGAACTTTTGTAATTCTTGACATTTTCCACAAGAGTCACACTTGATTTTGTCTTGATTGTTATTATCTGTTTTACTCTTTTTATCTGAAATAAAAAAAGGATAAATAATAGAAACAAAAATGTTTTAAAAATGTTTACTTGGCGGTTCTTCGTCCAATTTTATGCTTTCCTTGTCCTGTGCACTATTGGAAATATCTGCCAAAGTGCAAGATCGATTAACTGGGAACGGTTGATCAGCTTCTTGTATGACAAAGCCTTCAATAACATGGGTTAATACTTGTGGTTTTACTAAAGCTTTAGGCAATCCTTTATCTCTAGAATTATCTTCGTTAGAATTAACCGGTAACGAAACTGATGCAGTTGTTTCAGTAGTATTCTCTGCTATTGAGACCACAACAGCTGATGTTTCAAGAGTTTGAACAGCAGGAGATGTCTTCGGAGATTCTTCGGGTTTAGTTGGTGGAAGCATAGATGAAACTGGTGTTTGAATTTGGGGTGAAATTAGAAGCTGAGATTGTGTTGATGCCTGAGGGGCACACGAAACAACTGGTATAACAGGACGATCAAGGATAGTGATTTGTTGTTGAGGCTGGCTACTAACAATAGCTTGGCCTTGCTGCAGCTGATGTATATGTATCTTTTGTGGAGAATTCATGGACATACTCATTACGTTTGTGGTGGGCTTGATGATTTGCTGTTGCTGATAAACTGGAGGCGATTGCATACTTACAATTTGATGGTTTGGCGATTGCATACTAACTAATTTAATTTGTTGTTGAGCTTGTTGTTGTTGTTGCTGTTGCAAATGCTGTACTTGTACAGTTTGCTGCTGTTGTTGTTGTTGCATTTGTGGCACAAGTTGTCCAGAACTTGTCAAAATCATTCTAAAACATAAAACCATTTATAATTTGTTCATTCATATTATAGTTGTTTAATAATTACTTGTTGGTGTTCATAGTCTGTTGAGGTGACTGAAGAGGTTTGGTTTGATTAGTTTGATTAGCAGCATCTGATTTATGAGGCGCAATACTAAAACCTTGACGTACGTTTGTCTTAGGTCTAACCTTGAGTTGAGCCTTTTGCATCTGGTTTAAATGCTGTATACCCGTAGAGGTTTGAGTAGAAATTGTGGCATTTGGACGGTTTGCATGTCCTGATGGTAGTATAGAAAGTTGTCTGTTATTACCCATTCCATTAGGTGTTGTGACAACTTTGGGTTGTATATCTGCTCGTTGAGATTTAATGGTAGTAGTTGTGGTACCACTAACCATTTGCCCAATATTTTGCATAACACCACCACTTGTTTGCACCATAGTTTGGCCATGGTGTTGTTGAAGGTGCTGAGGTGGAGGACTTTGAATAAACATAGGAGTTTGTACTTGTTGTTGTTGACCATCTTGCTGCGGTGCACCTAGATAATAAAATCAATAGTTATTGTTGAATTGTTATAACTTTAAGTTTTTTAAATTATTTGTGTGTAGGATTGAACATTAATAAATTAACAGATACAATTATAAATTATAAAAATATAAATATAACAAAACTGAGATTTTCCATGCTATATAGTTATGATCCTACTCCTACTCATTAGTTACGATACTGTAAAAATAGTTTTTCGATGAAGAGTCCTCAATTTACTAAATAAAATTTAAATTAAACGATTCAATAGGAAAACGAAAAATAGAACTTTATTTTGTAGATTTTTAAAGGTGAATGTAATATTTCTTTTCTTTATGATATTAAATTTCATAAATTTGGTTTCACTCATTTTAAATGTCTAACAATTTTCTCATTAAAATTCTTGGAAAATGTAAAGATCATTTGAGGCGTTACGTGGCAAAGTCAGCAATCTCCACTTTTTTTGAAATAAATGTTTTGATCATATTCATATAATACTTTTTACTCTGCGTCGATTGGTGAAGCTGATTTTTATCACATATAATCGCCCATCGAGATAAAACGTTTTAATACTAACTGATCGCAGCAAAGAGAGCAATCTCCAATCATAATACCATATAATACATGTTCTACGTTTCTGTGGCAAATGAGGCAATCTCCATGCGTTTCTGTGACAAAAGCGGCAATCTCCGTGGGTTCTTCTTGGGTTCCGCGGCAAATTTGACAAAGTCCATTTTCCCTAATTTATTATTTAATGTTATTGACATTTAACAAATTATATGAATACAGGGAATAACACCAAACTCCACTATCAACCAACGTAAATAAAATATCATGGAAAAATACAAGAAATAAAGGTAAAACAGTTTTTTGACATTTACCAAAAATCACTGCGTTTGGAGATTGCTGACTTTGCCACATGACGCCTCATTTATTATAAATTATTGTTTATTATTATTATATTGAATTTGTGTTACAAAAATAATAAATTACAAAGAACAAACAAAAGTTCTAAACCTAGATTCCTCACTATAATTGTACCTAGATAGTTACCATGTAGTGATAACTCACCTCTTATAAAAATTGGATGATTCTGTGCTAATAGTGCTTGCGGTTGTGGAGCCCAAGTGAGTCCTTGAGGAAGTGATGCATTAAATTGCCATGGTGAAAATTGCATTGTTTGAGCGTTTTGTTGTACAGTTCTTCCAGTGGCACAGCTTGTGTACTAAAAAAACATTTTCCAAATAAAACAGAACATATTAAAAGTCTATAGTACGTACTGTTTGTTGCATTTCATTTTGTTTCATATTTGGCTGGCTACTTATCACCCCTAACTGGCCGATGACAAGTGTCTGGTTAGTTGTGGTTGGTATAGCAGCATATCCAGTCGGAAACGAAGTTGCCTGTCCCTGCGATATTACCTGTTTATGTGCATGTGCTGTGGTGAGCATCTGTTGTGACTGGAATTGTTTATTAGGAGCTGCAATCACTTGTATAGCACCAGAGGTAGGATGTTGCAACATTGTTCCAGGCATGATTAATTGGCCTTGAGCATTATATTGTACAAACTGAGGGCCAGCTTGTTGAATTAACTGAACACGTCCATGACTCCAGTCATTGATCTGTTGAATTTGAGTCTGCTGTTGTTGTTGTTGCTGTTGCTGTTGAGTAGGTGTTTGTGCCTGCATAGTATGTTGCTGTTGGACTTGCCCTGGTTGTTGAGCTTGTATATTAGTCATTTGCACTTGACCCTGTTGCTGTTGCTGCGGTTGGATAGTAGAAATTTGCATTTGACCGGATGTCTAAAAAATATATTGTTTTTATACATTTATAAAAAATTACCTACATTAGAATAATTAAATACCTCAATAGTGGTCATTGGAGCAGATGAATGAGGGAGTTGCACAGTGCCACCATTGGATCCATCTGAAGACATCTGCATAGTAATAGTTTGCTGACCCGTGGCGACAGAAACTTGTTGAGGTTGTTGTTGTTGTTGTGACTGTTGCTGCTGCATGTCAACCTGTCCCTGAGGTTGTTGAATCATAACTTGTATTTGCTGTGGTTGTTGCATTTGTTGTGCTTGTTGGTTTTGTTGGGATTGTTGTTGCTGTTGATTTTGCTGTTGCTGTTGTTGCTGCTGTTGTTGTTGTTGTTGTTGTTGTTGCTGCTGCTGCGCTTGTTGCATTTGTTGTACATCTGTGGCAGGCTGTTGTTGAGCCGATACCTCACTCATTTTTGAGCTTGCTCATGTAAGCTTACTAAATAGGTAAATTAAAAATAATTAATTAGAAAGGTAGGTAACATATTTGTCTTTAAATTATGTTATATGCTAATAATAAATACTGTTAAAAACAATTTATTTTAATGAAGAAAACTGTTATAATTTGATAAAAATTAGTTATCTTAACGTAATCTATCTATTATCTACGAGGTTATCTATTAACTTTGTTTTATAATATGTTTTTTAATTTTTAAGTACCTAATTATATAAAAATTTTCTTGCCACACATCTATTTATGATTTAAATGTAGGTACAATATGATATACAAGTATTTATATTTATCATAAGTTAGGTACTTTACTTTATAAGCTATGAATTTACATAACTAATTAGTTACAAAAAATTAATATTTATATTTTTAATGGAGATCCATTGAAACAACCAGTAGACCAAAATTAATAAGTAGAGAAACTATTATCTTTTGTTTTGACCGATTATAAACAAATTAAAAATCACATTTCTTGTTAATTTTAGTTTGTACATATCAATATCTTCAATCTTCATAATATGGAAATGTCTTTTACTATGTCCCATACTACCGATTTCTATACCGCCACATTCATTAAACTTATTACTTTAAAATATTGATTTTTAAGCTTTTGTTGATTGGTTTGGTCTAATAAAAATGATCAGTAGTATTCAAGTGTTAGTTTTCTTCAAACAGTTTTAACCATAACCAACCAAATATATAAGCTATTTTATTTAACAAACATTTTACAAACAAGGCGTACTACAGATTTAATACTCAAACACAATCCGTTTTCATTTGTAATAAAAAAGTATGTAAGATTTTGAATAACTACCAGATGATTATGAATGGAAAAATGAAAAAAAAAGATCAAGAAATTTTAATTAATTACTTTAGCTAGCATTAGTGGAAACCCGTACCGCAATGGTGGAGGTAATAGGGCGATCCTCCATCATTGTATACCAGAACTACAACTTGACTAGCTCAGAAAGTCAGAACTCACAACCACTTTCGTACCTACATCCTATGGAATGTGTCATGAAAATCCGACATACAATACATACATACCTAGGTGTATCTATTAGATATCTACTATCTAGGCAAATGCAATTATTCTTATTCAACATATAATTTTCAACGCATATAATATCAATTACATTTCCTGATACACCATAAGTACTTGTATATACCTATCATCGTAAACACGTCCGATGTGCAATAATAAATAATAATAATGTATCATATTTACACGGAAACCTCAAACAAACGGACACACACACACACACGCACAAACGCGCCCGCACGCTCGCCCACAAACACGATACATTACCATATCATCAGATATTCAGAACGAGAACACACGACGAACTTATGCTTTCGAAGAGCTAGGCTATTGTCTATAGGTACTATAGGTATTATTAAACAGCAGAGTAAACAAGCAAAATATACTGCAAGAATACGAAGTGATGCAATGTGATGGCGGTTGTCGTGAGGCAGGCATACAGTTGTATACCTACGTTCGGTACTGCTTGAGTAATAATAGTCATAATAATAAAACGTCGTACGGGGCACTCACCTCCAGTTTAGCTGGCGGCCGAGAATTATGGGTCCACACTCCACAGGACTTTGAGACTATCCGACGACGTGAAAACGCGATTCGCGTGATCGAGAAACGACGGTTTCGTGATAAAATTCGCTGCGACCTGACGTCGGTCGGATGATCGATGATAATAAAATGTTTCAACAGTAGCGAGTGATGCGTAGGTATTGGAAGTAACGTAGTGTATTATAGGCTGTAGCTGTGTCGCACACGCGCACGCACAATCCCCCACCGCTGTGGCGTCGGCAGCAATGAGAGCGCGTCTGAGCGGCGGCGTCGGCGAAACACTGACGCGCAGAGAAGAGGAACGGCGGACGTTGGGACGTGCAAAGACGAGGAACGGTCGCGGGCGACTCGAAACGGGCCGGCGACGAATGGCGGGCGGTGGGTGCCGGGTGGCCGCCGCTGTCGGAGCTTGGTCGGGCGCGGCGGCGCATGCGTGCCACCTCTCCCTCTGACCGATCAGCCGCCCGTGACGACCAATGGGGTACCGCCCAAGCGGCGGCGCACCAATAAAGGACCACTGGCGCGCCGTATACACTCGGGATTCCTGGGAGTAATTATTGTAATAACGCCGCCGTCAACCCGACCCCGGAGGGGCTGTGCGGCGACACTCGATATTACTCATCTATATATAATATTATACGTAGGGGGCGACGGGACAAAAGATTTATAATATACGAATTGCACTTTTTTCACTCACTCACTCAGTCACTCACCCTCTCTCACTCCTCTATTTACTCCGTCTGTCATTCGCCGCTCCCTCATACGATCTCCCTCGAATTCTTTTGTATTAAACACTATAATGTATAGGTACCTGTAGGTATTTACTATGGTTTGCATTTATTTAACCTCTACCAATAATGCGTACGCAACATTTTTTTCTCATCGGAAATTCTCTGTATTCTAAATAATCACTCTTTTTATATATTATATTAAGTGGTATTATTATGTACACTCTAAGGTATAATATATTATAATTTATAAGAGCAGAGATTTATAATATACAACATTATGGAACAATATACCTATTATAAATTATATCCAGCATCCGATCCCAAATGTCTTAATATAGTCTAGGTACCGGACGGATATGTGGGTCTTGCAAAAAAAAATAATGTTTAGACATATATATATGATGATAAATTGATAACAATATATATATATGATAACCTTATAATATATATTTATCAGTTTGGATGGTGGGACGGTACAGTATTCAAGTACATATTTGTATAATAATAAATTGATCCCGCATTCCCGCAGATCATCAAGTCAAGAATTTCACGGCTGCACGGTTGGTGGGCTGCATCGCCTATATCTCGAGTGTTCCTTAAATGTACCTATATGGCTATATATATATATATGCACTTAAACCCGTTTAGGATGACATTTTATTTGTTGAACTCATCGAGACTATATATAATTATATATATTATATATATACCTATATTATTTAAAGTTACAGGAGACCTGGTATACGTAGGTGCTTCTATATTTATACGTATAAACCTAACCTAATACAATAATACATATATAGTACCTAGGTACATATATATATATTACATGTATATATAAAAAATAGTACCTATAGTTCTATATAAGTAAAATATGCGTATGGCCATACAGCAGCCATCGCAGGCTGGTATATACTTGTAGGTAAGTGCAATTTGTTAGCCACATAACTACATAACGACATAACGTATTTTCGAATATAACGTATGTTTCACCAAGCGCCCTGTATACACGCACGTCCGGTGGTCGGTGTATATGTTTACGTGCGCAATAACGGGAGAAATACGGTTCGCCGCGGTGTGCATACTGCGTCGTAGACCGCGGGACTCATCCAATGCACGCACGGGAGGTGGAAAAAGTTTTTAGGAACCCACCCACCGAGCACCAAACCAACCGACACGCACACAATGTCATTCATTGTGTTTTGAATTTAATATATACGTATAAATTATAGGTACAAGGTACATTATATAATATAGGTACGCTTAACGCTTATATATATATATATAGGCATGTATATAAATTAGGTTTAGGTATACCTAGGTATATATACTATAAAATATATACCTATAGGCTATAACCATATAACATGTCGTAGGTACCTATAGTACTCATATACCTATACCTCGTACTCAATTATGAATTTTAGGCACGTAATATACAGTATACACATACATAAATAGGTATATTCCTTGATCGTATATCGTATATTATGTACTATATAAATATATATACAAATAAATAGTAAACACTGAAGAGGAATATCTTTTTTTTCTTGTGGTACCGCCGCATAGGGACTAAACTGTTTGCACACTGCTTAGTGCTTGGTCCTGATCATTATTGGTGCTTAGTTGCCTGATCCTTGTTTCTGAAGGAGAATAATTCGCCTATATATGAAGCAATCTTTCAACGGAGGCATGAAAAATGTCTTCATCATCAAAAGCAATCAACTATGGATCTTAAGACCTGGGCACCCCCGACATTTTATAATTGGGGCCCAAAAATGTTAGTCCCAGGACCCATATAGGGCCCGTATTTTAATTGATGTTACTATAGGATAAAATGTAAATTTTTATAAAATATATATGTGGTAAAAAGTAAATCATGTTTAGTGATAAAAATAAAACGTGTAACTACCTACAATATTTTAAATTTAATTGGAATAAATTATTATATGATTAACAGCTATAGGTGATATATTGACCACAAAAGTACTGCAAATAATAAATAAACATTGCAATTATCTTATACGCCACCGATTATTAATATATGTACATGTCTTGTTAAGAGATTGCTCAACCATAGGCGCAAATTGGGGGGGCTTGGGGGTGCTAAGCTCCCCTAAACTTAGCCATAGCCCCCCCCCCCAAATCTAGGACATACAATTGTATAATATGCTATATTCCAATGGTCTGCTTGCCATTAATATATATTTAGCTCCCCCACCCCAAGCCAAAAGTTGAAATTGTGCCTATTGGCTCAACAATATTTTAGGCACCCCTGAAATTCAGGTCTGCGTGTTTATGGCTCTAAAACTTAGACATCCAAATCTATAAAACGACTAAAACCAATTCAATCCTTATTAAGTTACTATATATATTAAAGTTTGTGATGGATATAGATTATAGTTAGGTATAACTATTATAACCAGGGCTAGGATTTTTATGCAATAAAAAATGGTAAAATATGCATTTTGTTTACCAAAATATGCAAAAACATGAATTTTAATTTTTATAAGATAAACGCACAAAAAAAGGTGCTCTGCTGTACAGTAGGACGTAGGTTACAATAGTGGGTCACTGTATAATGGATAGTATTAAATTTGAATTCAATGATATAATATCATTATATAAGAAAAACGATTCTGAG